CACTCAGGTTTGTGGACGGTGGAGCGGAGGAATGCCAGATTGTCTCAGGGTGCTCCCGTGTCTGTGTGCCCTTTTGGTTCTCTCCTTTTAGTTAAGCTGTTATAGTCAGATCTGCCGGAGTCGTTAGCCACACTCTGGAAATGTTTTACATACTACTATACATACACCCATACAGAACTAAACTAACTCCATTTCCCTACCTTTCTTCCGAGAAAACGACTGCTCACCTGTCCGGCCGGACACTGCTGGATGATTGTTTGTAGAGCTCTCCGGCTACCCGCTTCAAACCAGTTACCCACAACCCAGTCACCGCCACCTGCCTTGGACTGGCTGCCCACTCTACACTGAAGTCTCCTAACTATTACTACTATTACTATTAATATTAGTAGAATAATAATTTTGTACGTAGTTTGACCAGAGGAGGATGGGTCCCCCCATGTGAGCCTTGGTTCCTCCCAAGGTTTCTTCCTCAACTGAGGGAGTTTTTCCTTGCCACTGTCGCCCCTGGCTTGCTCACCTGGAGGATTTACATTTCATGTTGAAACTTTGTTCTAAACGGATTTCTGTGAAGCTGCTTTGTGACAACATCAGTTGTAAAAAGCGCTATACAAATAAATTTGATTTGATTTGATTTGGAAGGAAATTGGTGGCTGTAGATGTGACCGAACCCCCCTCAGACAGGCAGCACCTGTCGGCCTAGACTCCCTGTACCACAGCTGGTCCCTCAGCCTGGGAGTGGGACAGCCTGGATTATCAGCTCGCACCTATAATCACTCCTCTGGGCATACCCTTCCCAATCCAGCAGATAGAATAAGCATCCACTGTGATGCCAGAAGTCCATAAAAGTACATACACTGTAGTGGAGGAGGGGGTGCTGCCACATCCACCGTACCTGGGAAGAGGCAAATTCTATCCTGTAGGATACTGATATTACCAGTCTGGTGATCCAAAATAGGCACATGCACTTTGGGCTTAGCTTTCAGCATTGAAATTTCAAATTCAGATCTCGAGTAGACAGCCATACCATCTGTCCGGGGGCGAAATGGGGACACTGTACATTGATGGCCATTAGCCTGTATTCTCTGTCTAGTAAACAATGTGTTCAGACTAACATGTGCCTCTTCCCAGTGTCATCCAGTATTCCTTTACTGGTACTGTGGCTGATTCTCCTGCCCATGGGAACAATGAAGGCTGAAAAACTAACCATACTGGGGTCATACCTGTGGATGAGCTAATGACAGAGTTTTTGGTGTTCTCCGCCCCTGATAAAAAATGAGATGTCTTCAAGTGTACTGTATTACCGGAAAACATGATGTAACAGTGCTTCTGTAGCTTCCATCACCTTCAGTAGTTTCCTCATTAGGATCTCTATGCTTTAGAAAACCTGTCTATAGCTACCAAAATATGAGTGCATCTCTGAATTAGGCAGATCTGTAATGAAAATCAATGCTTAGATGTGACTATGGCCTTTGTGGAGTGGGTAGGGGTTCTGTGTACAGTGAGCCTCCGGGTCTTTTAGTGTTTAGAGAGGTCTGAGTTCATTTGGCATGTTCACACATGCACAGAAAATCATGACTCACCAGTCTGAGCCCACTTCAGACACTGAAACGGCCTAAGTGTAAAAAAAACACCCTAAAATTCACATTTTTAAGTCGCGTAGAGCTTATATTCCAACAGGACTTGTTTTTGGTGTTCCTTTAAAGACTGTAAATAAATCAAAATGTCATCTATATAGTTTAGTACTCAGTGATAAAGCATGTCTCATAGTAATTCATTTATGAAAGTCTGCAATACAGAGAGGAAATTAGCCAATAATTCACCCAGTGTATTCCAGAATACTCTTAGTGTCCCCTATTGGTCACAAAAGCATTTGTCCTCTTATCAGTTGAGGTTAATTTGAAAATAATTAGTGTGGACCTCATTTGGTCATTAAGGCCACGGTATACTCTTTTTTTTAATGATGCATATATGTGCACGCTTCAGCTACACAAACAGCACTGTTCACATACTCACTCATTGTCTGTCTAGACATTTCAAAGCCCTGCTCTCTAGTTAGTTGGATAATCCAATAAATCTGATAAACTCCTGCCACTCCATTGCCACTGCAACTTGTTTCCATTTATGTTTGCAAGTTTCAGTGTCGGCTGGTAAAGTGTCAGCGATTTCACACCAGCGGATCTTGGAAGCATATTTATCCCCATGGAGTGGCATAGCATGGTCATGAGGGTAGTGGCAGATAAGCTCTATCAGCCTCTCTTCAAATGTTTACGCATTGGTCACTATTGTTCGTGTTTTGTTCAGTGTGGTACTGTCACATATCGTCCCGACCATTTATGCAGGCATTGCATCTCATGGACACATTAATTTTGGAGGACGTGCACTACCAATGCTTCAAACAAATGCAGGACGCATGAGGCAGACATCTGACAAGTACACAACAGCTCTTAGGTGCATACAGGTAGCATCATTGTGTATTAGTTCTGAAGGACTATGCAATGCAATACCCAGATCCAGAGCCTCTCTGCAACATCTCAGCATATAGTGTTAGTGAGGCATCTCCTCACAGACTGAAGGGAACCATCTTCCACCGACAGTCAGAAACTTTGACACATTAGTGTCAGGAACAGTTATTCAGTAAGTATTTCTATTGGCGCTGGATGCAATGCAGGATCATTTTAATATGACAAGATCAGGAAAAATGCAGAGCCAAAACAGCAGGCAAACAGAATGCATGATTTACAAATGGTCAATGGTCAAAAAATATGCAGGTCAGAACACAGTAAGGCACATATAAAACAGTGGATAACAAGCAGGTTCATAATCTCAACTATGTAAACAAGACACACTTTCAAACCAACGAGGCAATCGGCAAATATTTTGAAGAAACCCTAGTGAAAGAAATTACTGATCCATCTTTGTGATAATGATCCATGGTTGTGACAGTGACTGACTTGATAAATACATACGCATATCACTGTAATATTCCTGTCCTGTCCTGCTTCCCCATTTTTCTCTTAGCTATGCACTCCTGTTTCATTATTTTCCTTTTCCACCCTTTGTTCCCTTTTTGTATCCTCCTTCCATTCTGGATTCCCTGTCATGGGCCTGTGTTTTGGTTCTCCTGTTCCTGCATGCCCTGCCTTCATGTTACGCCCCTCACCTGGTAGGTCTTTGTAACTCCTCCTCTTTATGATCATGCTTAGCTGTTCTTTGTTCTATGTCTGTGTAAATCTACCCTCTTCTTTAACTGTAACAATGCAGGGATGGGGTGTTAGTAGGATCCATTAGCAGGCTTTATTTTGACAGGGACAACAGTACAAAACACAGTCCAAAAGCAGAGTCAGGGCAGAGCAGTGGCCAAAAACACATACACCAGAGCCAAGGCAGAGAAATCCAATCCAATGCTTCGCAAAGAGCAGCAAGAGAGTGAGAGTGTTTATAGGGGAGTTGATGAATGGAGATTGAGAACAGGAGTGTGAGAGTGACGGTTAGCGTTCAGGAGACAATGACCTCTGGTGGGCAGCGTGGGAGTCGCACATGGCGTTAGCTTAGTTCTTTGTACTTGTTTGTTGATCTTCGTTTCAGGATTAGTTTCTGTTTTTCCCCCTGTTTGTTTTTGTTCTTGTAATCTCTGCATTTTGTTAATTTACCTCAGTTTCCAGTTTTTCTAGTCATTTTGGTTTTCTTTTGTTTTTCAGTTTTGTCCCTGGTATCACTATGGATGCCACCACAACTTTCACAGACTGTTTTTACTTGGACTCATTCCTCCACCAACAACTGAGAGAAAGCTTTCTGTTTTTACATATTTATATTTTAGTACTCATTTCATAATAGGTCTCAGAGTGAGAGCATTTCTGAAGAACTAGTCCACAGTAAGAACTGCACTATAATACAACAGTACATTATGTGTAGAGCTCTCCTCATTGATCCAGAGGAAGATGATAGTCTTACTCTATTACAGTTCACTACATCACACTACAGTTTAAAACTAATTGTGGAGCCTCTGTTTGGCCTACTGAGAGATGTGATCATGGCCCTCTGAAATAAAACCAGAGGCACCAATTATAGGTTGACTACCCAAAAAATTGTCAAAGCTGAATCCTATCATTGAGACTCAGCATGTATACATGTAGGAGTATGTACAGTGCTGCTTGAAAGTTTGTAAACCCTTTAGAATTTTCTATATTTCTACACAAATTTGACCTAAAACTTCATCAGATTTTCACTCAAGTCCTAATAGTAGATAGAGAAAACCAAATTAAACAAATGAGACAAAGAGATTAGATTTGGTCATTTATTTATTGAAAATGATCCAATATTACAAATGTTTGATCCAATATGACCTTTATTTAAAGTTCACTGGATTTATTTTTCTACTGACACCACCTGACTTTCTCAATAGATTATTGAATTCAAATGGTGTGAGGCACAACTGTCTATTTCATGTATAACAAGAAAGATTATACATTTCAAAATGTTTTTCTACAAATCAGCAGTTTCATTTCATTTTGTGAGTTAACTTACATATTCAATTTCAGTCAAGTTTATTTAGAGCAAAACAATATCATGTAAATATTTCTAACAATATTAGTGACAGTACTAGCTTTGGAATACAGCCAAAGGCACTCATCTCATCATGATTCAGATTTATAGAGTGTTTAAACCATGTTTAGACCAGAGTTTCCATCTGTGCTTTTAACAAGAGTTTGACAATAGTTTTAAATAATTCTTCAGGCAAAACCTGCTCTTTATACCAATCAAGACAATTTCATAAATATGAATCTGAGTACTGAAGCTACATATATTTAAAAAAGAAAGTTCATCATAATACCGCGACCCTATCTGGACTAAGCGGTTAACGATGATGATGATGAGTTCATCATGATGTATTTTTGTCATAATTTAAAGCAAAGAAATTAAAGCAAAGAAATTATACAAGCAGATTTTTAATTCTCAGTGCATAAGGAATAAAAAGCATCCAAGGGGTTTAAAGATAAGATCTAAAGAGCTGCATTTGTCTTCCTTTTCCAAATCATTCTCTTGATCCTATTCAAAATCTCCTGCAGTTTCAGACCATACATAATAGGATTGATTAAAGGAGGAATGACCAGATTTTCAACAGATACTATCATGGCAAAGATGTGAGGTACATTTGCTTCTAATCTGAGGTTAATAATTTCAAAACAGGAGGTCACAGTAAAACTAATGACAATGAAAAGGTGTGGAAAGCAGGTCTGTAGAGCTTTTCTTCTGAAGTCCTTTGAATTTCTTAAACAGACATCAAGTATTCTAACATAGGAGTAGATTATGAAGATCACTGGTGGAAATACAATAACAGTTAAACCAAACAGTCCATATAAATTGTTCGCAGATGTGTCTCCACAACTCAATTTAACAACTGAATAATTATTACAGTATATTCTGTCTAATTTGAATTTACACAGTTGAAGTCGGTATGTCAGTATTATTGCCACAGCAGTTTCACAGGAAGGCCAAAACCAACAGAAAAATAAGACCTTTTTGACAGTGGAAATTTTTACAAGGGTTGCATATTGTAATGGTTTACATATGGACACATATCTGTCATAGGCCATAGCTGATAACAGTGTGAACTCTGACACAGCATATGTATAAATGCAAAAAGCCTGAAACAGACATGCTTGGTAAGAGATCATTTGTCTTTCAGACAGAAAATCACTCAGCAGTTTAGGATAAAGTGCAGTTGTTCCAAAAAGAGAATTAAAAAGTAAAGCAGCAATGAATATGTACATCGGCTCATGGAGATGTTTGTTTGTGTAAATGACAGAAATGACAACAGCATTAAAGCAAATAATCAAAAAATAGACAGTTAAAGTAATTGTAAAATAAAAATATCTGTACTTATGCAGTTCAACATGCCCCTCCAAAAATAAATATGTTACATTAGTAGAATAATCCATGAGTTCCCCTAAAGAAACCAGTCAATGTCCAAGAACTTTAGATTTGTCTGTATGATCTGCTTCTGGTCACAGTAACTTATCATATCTTAATGCACTGTGAAAATACAGCGATCCTATGGTGGGGATACAAATGTGTGTGCATTTATACATTTTTCAAACACTTACATTTAGTAAGATATTGTCTAGTGGTTTACTGACTGACAGTTCGTAGTCCAGCCCTCCTTTATTTCATCACAGTTAGAAAAACAGGGTTAATGAACTGCAAATCTCTATTGAATTAAATTATAAACTAGAGGGAATTTACATTATTATTATTATTATTATCATCATCATCATAATTATGAATAATAATAATAATAAAAAAAAAATAAAAATAGTCTCTTGTTGTTGCTTTCATGTGAAACAAATGGATGCTGTTTATTTTACAATCTTTTGGACAAAATCTACATAAGCAGGCTGGATGCCGAACTAAGGTCTCTCATGCCCGTCACGAAAGCACCACTAGTTCAGGGTCAACAAATCCATGTAAGGTTGGTTTGGAAATCAGAATAAAGCTTTCACTAATAAGGCTTGGGTCCCACCTATTACACAGCTGTCATGCTCTGTTCTTGATAAGTGAAATGGAAAAGAATGTCTTTGATTGATTATGCATGTTAAAAATCCCCTTAATAATATGCATGATTTTACTCTCTGGAAGGTGGCACCCTCAGGCATGTAAAGGTCAGCTCTGGGGTCCTCAGTACATGGTGTGTAGCTGTAACTGTGTACATTCCATGCCCGGCTGGCTAATATAAAGAACTGAATTCCCTGTCTCTGTGTCCAGTCTCTTACTGGAATTCCACTGTGGATGATGAGTCTGAGCACATGCCACGCCTCTATAACTACCCAATATGTAACAGTGACATTTGACTCAATCCTGCAGTGTGGCTACTGGAACTGGCACATGCTGATAATAATACACCGTCCAGTAGCACTGGCCTGCTTTTAAGTAGTGTTTGGGAGACACGTTCACCTTTCAGTAGATAAAGACATTGATGATGTGAGTGGATGGGGAATCTATTAAAGACAGGGAATAAGGCCAATTTGTTTCTTTTGACCACAGAACCTGACCAAGACCAGGAAGGAGAAAATGAGATGGGTACAGTCAGAAGGGAAAGTAAGGGAACAGACTTTGGACAACATTGAAGCTGTCACTCAAGTTTCATGTTGCTATCAGAGGGCTAAGGCTGGAATCTCATAGTTAGTGGGAGGAGTGTCAAGATCAGTGTGTTATGGCTGTGTGATGAAGATTTCAGACATAGTATGTAGTTAAACACTAATTGCATTTAGTTAAGTATTTCTGAAATACAGCATCTGAATGAGCAGAGAGCAGAATCTTTGTGGGTGCAATGATAATGTTGTGTTGAAGATGAACACAGAAATCCTGGAAGACATTTGAAGAAGTTGCAAATGGATAGTCAAGTGAGTCCTGATGTCATCTGGAAAATCTAGTATTACCATTCAGGCAATTTGCATTGGAGTGCTGGAATTTTTGGGGGCATTGAAAAGTCCAAAATGCATACTTTGGGACTCAAACAGTGTAAGGGACATGGCAGAGGTGGTCTTTTGGCAACTTAGTGGATCAACCTACATCTACCAATAGCTGATCGCAAAGTGCAGGGTGAAAAAACATTTCAGCTTTTGTCAGTGTGCATCTCTTCAGCTCTACGAACAGACTTTGCAAAAGTATTGAATTCAATTTGCAGTATTCGACACAAAACCTGCCCTCTCTAAGGCACAAATGCACCTTCATCTCCTTGTTTATTACATTGTTGGCTGCAAGGACTTCTTTCTAATTGGTGTAGCATCAATGGTTTATGCATTGATTACAGCCACGCATAACCTCTGTAGAACTAATTATTATTATTATTATTATTATTATTATTATTATAAACCATCATATTTGTATTTGCTTATCTCTTGGTTTTCTTTCTTTCTTTCTAGCTCTGGCTCTGTGTTTGAGGTATCCTATCTCTCAGGTATCTGACAGCCTACTGAGAAAGAAAAAAACACCTACTATCCTAGACCATACACAGGTGCAGGGCATACCTAATTACCCTTAATTAATGGTTCTTTGAGACCGCCTCTCCATTACACAGCCAACACTAGACAAAGCCTCCACTGCTGCATACCCTGAAACAGGTCAAGCAGCCATCTGGCAGGCAGCAAACCTCTCCCACTGAGATCTGAAGTCTGCCATATGTGCTGTAGAACCATTTTAACATGTTAAAAAGCCTTTTGGCCTGTTTTGACACTCTCCTTTAAGTGAGATCAATAAGTGAGCTGGTGAGTAGTCGAATCTACAATAATAGCCAGCCATCTCCAGGAACTGTCTCCCTTCTGATGTGGTCTTGGGCCTGGGGCAGGCTGCAATTGCAGCAGTCCTATCAATTTGGGTAGCAGGTTCTCATGAATAAAATGGAAGTCCAGGAAGCTTAGATGCCATACCTGCCACCATTCAGTTTCACAATTCTTTGGATTAGCACTGAGTCCTGTTATATCCCGAGGACTTTAGGACAGTACTCAAATGCTGCATATGTAACAGGCAGCAGTAATTCACGGTGTAGAATTCTGTTCATGATGTGAGCAGCCAGAAAGAAGGGTCACAAATTGGTGTAAAGAAAGCTGTTTTCTCTCAGTATAAAATAAATGGAATCTGCTAGTAACTCTTAGTGAAATACAGTATAGAATAAAAGTGAGCAGTGCTTAACCAATCCATCAAACTGATTCACTTTTCTGTAGTCACAGAAACCAATAAGCACCAAATCTTTCTGTCTAACATGTCCGACAATTGCATCTTGATCTTGTAATTTGCTGGAGATAGGTGCAAAGATCTCTCTAATGGGTGCAATAAGTATTATTGTTGCTTAGACCAAAGCCACCTTTTTTAATTACTACACATGAGACTTGAAATGTTCTGTAGTCACAAAGAACCAAACAGTCCCATCTGGTTTGTGGACAAGCACTACAGTGCTGCATGAATTGATGAATTGTTCTTTCCATGTCAAACATGGCCTTAATTTTATCCCTGCTCACATTGTTTTGTGTTTCAGCAAACATGTGTTTGTAGACATAAATTCCAGCTTTCTGGAACAGTTCAGAGGATGCCACTTCCTGTTTCAGCATTGACAATGCCCCCATGCACATACAAAGAAATTATTTGTCAAATTTGTTGTGGAAGACTAACTCCATTTTAATGGCTATAATTTTAGAATGATGTGTTCAATAAGCACATATGGATATGAGGCCATGTGTCCATATACTTATACAATGATTGCTCATTTCTATGCAGTTTTGACAAATAAGGGCCACAGTTATTAAAGACTCTGTGTCTGAGTTTATTTAATGAAAATTCTCATTCAGTTGACAGAACAATTTGCCGGAACAATGTCTACAGAGATCATTGAAGGCAATCATAAGAGATTTTATATTTCGGTTAATATTAGGAACCAAAACCCTTAATGCTAGTTTATGTTCTTGAGGTTCTAATGGTAGGCCAACACATAAAACCCTACAACAACTAGACTCAAATTTTGAAATGTTCTTGCATTTCCTCCAGAACTAATTCCTAACCTAACTTTTCCCAAAATATACCTAATATGAATCAAAAATACCTTTCTGTCATGTGGAATATTTTTCATTGTTTTGATTGACACCTATAAATGCTTCCTTTTATAATGACATTTGCATTTGTGGACCTTGACAGATGATCTTTTTCAGAATTTTGTTGTTTATTTGGGACCTCAAATTAATTAAGGTTTACTGTTTAGTCCTTTCTATATGATTAATGATTTATGTTTGATTTTTATACCTATATGCATACCACTAATCTTCAAAATTGGTAGTGATGAATGAGTAGGTCTTCTGCCTCACAACAAGTGCCCAAATAATGTGGTTGTATAAAAGCAAAAATTTGTGTTATGTAGCTGTAACCGTTAACCCCTTAAAATCCTGGAATAATTACATACTAAGGCTCATTATTCAGTAACTACAGGGACTTTAGGTGTTTAATAAAACATTAGGCATTTTGAAGGGGTTAAGTCTTAATTAACCATACATTTGTTCCTCTGATAAGTTTGTCCTACTTGCTTAGTTGGATCTGAAATCTAGCACGTTCCTAAAACTCCATGACAAAGTAAATTGTACCCTTTGTAACAAATAACAGTGTCTTTATACTCAACATATTAAAACAAGCAAAAAAAAAAAAAAAGGTTTGCAATATGTTACACACAATGTCAATGTGTTTGCACACACTGATAGTGTAGGCCAGTTTGTATCAAATGTATTTTGTGAATAAGGGGCAAAATACATGGCTTAAAGAAGGTTTGTCTCCTTACATATATGAAGAGGGGTTTTAATGTGCAAAGTATGAGTCTCTTTACATGTTTCTGGACCCTATTAAAAACAATTTGCGTTTTCAGCTCAGATATCTCGGGACTGGCCAGAAGAAAAACAGTTACAGTATTACACATAGTCACAGTCAAAGGCACTCTGATGCTACTGATAACCTTAAAAGAACAGTGCATGCACAGCAAAGCACAATAGTCTGCGATTTTTTTTAAAGAGCCAAACACAGTAGGCTTCTTACATTAAATAATGGATACTGTAAAGAATATTCTATACAATTTTACTTTGATTTGTCATTTAGATTTACATAGTTTGTTGTATACAGTTTAAAGACCATGTAAACCTAAAAAGATATGTGAGTCTTCCTTTTCCAAATCATTCTGTTGATCCTATTGAGAATCTCCTGCAGTTTCAGTCCATATATAATAGGGTTGATTAAAGGAGGAATAATCATATTTTCAACAGACATGATCATGGAAAAAATTGGGGGTATGTTTGCTTCAAATCTGCTGCCTATCACTTCAAAACATGAGGTAACAGTGAAACTGATAAAACTTAAAAGGTGTGGAAAGCAGGTCTGTAGAGCTTTTCTTCTGAAATCTTTTGAATTCTTTAAACAGACATCAAGTATTCTAACATATGAGTAGACTATGAAGATCACTGGTGGAAAAACAGCGACAGTTAAAACAAAGAGCCCATATGAATTGTTTACAGATATGTCTCCACAACTTAATTTAACAATTGAGTAATTGTCACAATATATTCTGTGCATTTTAAGCTTGCATAACTGAAGTCGGTGAGTTAGTATTACTCCCACACCATTTTCACAGGAAGGCACAAACCAACAGCAAAATAATAGTTTCTTGACCGTGGACTTTTTTACGAGAGTTGCATATTGTAATGGTCTACATATGGACACATATCTGTCATAGGCCATAGCTGATAACAGAGCAAACTCTGAAACACCATATGTGTAAATAAAAAAGGCCTGAAATGTACAAGCTTGGAGAGAAGCAACTTGTCTTTCAGACAGTAAATCACTCAGCAGTTTAGGTAAAAGTGCAGTTGCTCCAAAAAGAGCATTAAAAAGCAAAGCCGCAACAAATATGTACATCGGCTCATGCAGTTGTTTGTTTATGCATATGGCAAAAAGAACAACAGTATTAAAGCAAACAATCAACAAGTAGGCAGTGAAAGCAAATACAAAATAAACATATCTGTACTTCTCCAGCTCTACATGTCCTTCCAGAGTTAAGTATGTAACATTAGTAGAATAATCCATGAGTTTCCTTGAAATAATCTGTAACTGATGAATCCAAACACAGATGTAAATAGTATTTGGTCATGATCACATGTGTATATCATTCAGTCTGCCATCAACAAGTGAGAGAGTGAAGATGTCCTGTGGCTGAAGATTATTGCTGTGTTGAGGCAAACTGTTTGGGCATTTATACATTCTCAACTGGTTACGTATTCCTTAGTGATTCACTGACTGTTTGGCAGAGTTGCTTGGCCTTCATTACTGTTACATCATTTAAGCAAACATTGTCAGCAGCTCTGCCTGTGAAAACCTACAAGAAGAGACTGTGAAAATGAAATGCAAGAAATATGAATCTGCAACAACCACAAACACAAAAACAATCAATATTCATCATATTTGTGGCATTACAGCACCCATGATGTTTTTCGCTGGGCTGTATTTGTTTCTTAAACCACTAAGTAGAGGTATTTGTTTTCATTTTCAAGCATGTGACATTGATGTGTAGAGGTCATGTAAGCTCTGGAGCAGTTTGGTTGGGTACTGCGTTTGGGAGTCTGAGCTACTGTTGTTCAGGTTTGGGTCCTGGTTCTTAACCCCCGGTGGGATTCTGTAGCAGTCTATGGATGTGCTAGAGATTTAAAGAGCATATTTCCTCTCACTAGAAAAAAAGAGCGATTTTCCTTTTTTGTCAAGTCTGAATAAAGCTTTGTCATGGGCACGAATTTTTAGTTATCCAAGCTTCTTCTGTGCTGATCCTGTGCTAAAATGTGCTGCATTTTGGACACCAATAACAGTAAGTAAAAGCAAAGTGCTGGAAACCTATGTGCGCAATGACCTGTCTCTGTTAGTTCATGCAGTTTGAAATTTGGAAGTACTAGTCAGGCCTTGTCAGGTCGGGTATCAAAGTCATGGAAACTGGTTGGGGTCAGGCTTTAATATTGTAAATTAATTAAATTAAGTGACCCTTATTAGTCCCACAACAGGGAAATTTCACCTCCACAATCTAACCCATCCGTGCAGTGAAACACCACATACACACTAGTGGACACACACTAGGCGGCAGTGAACACACTTGCCCGGAGCGGTGGACAGCCATGTCCGCAGCACCCGGGGAACAGCTCGAATGCAGTCCCCCACTACCAGAAATTATGCAGTCGAGATTCCCGCATTTGGGGAATTTGCAAGGGTCAGCACAACCAAAGTGCAATGGCCGAGCCTCGACCTGGGTGAACCACCTTCGTGATCATGGTGTCGCCCCTACCAGGTAAGTATACCAGATAAGCCCCTACCAGGTAAGGTTGTATTTAACAACCTTCTTCTGACGTGAGAGAGTGACGTCAAAGTATGGGTTGCTGAACACTCAAGTTCCATAACTGTTGCACTCTGCTTGTTGGAGGCAGCCATAACTCTTTAGGACGGTGAGTTTCCGTATGAGTTCAGTGGCCATTTTCTCTATCCATAAATCGTTTCACAGACATGTGCTTTTGTCTCTTGTAGCTCGATGCAAAGCAAAGATATAGTCTCAAGCCCCACACTGTTCCTGAGTGTGCTGTCCTGGGGATCCACTTCACCTGCCTCCAATGTGGCTGGACCCTCGTCAACTGGCTTCTTTGGCAGTTTCATCTTGAAAAATGACAGTTGTGCTCAGACTGATTGGGGCTTGACTACCATTATGCCTGAGCACTTTACAATTTAGTTAAACCTGTGTTATTAATACATATTGAAAATACAATCAAAGTATCTAGCTAAGAATATGTCCTACTTTGCCATCTTGCCACTGGAGTAACTGCAGTGTTTGACTAGCCTGCAATCAAGGGACTGAATAGGATGCAAGCTGGGGACTTTGCACCACAACAATAGAGTTTGTCCCCAGCTTGCAGCCTAGTAAAACTCTGTTGTTTGACTGTTGAGCAGGAAATGAGACTGCATCCCTGTCCCTCATACCCACAGTTTGATCCTATTGTTTTGAAAAAAGTGTCCCAAAGTCTGAAAATCAAAGTGGAACATTAATAACTGTCACTACTGAAACACATTTTTTTGTGCAATTAAGTAAACTTTTTTGGTGTTTTAATGAAAGATATTTGTGTATAAAAATGTTCTAAACCAGGGGTTCTCGACCTTTTTCTCCCTAAGGCCCACCTGTTTATAACTATAAAGCATAGCGGCCCACAGAAAAACTAAAATTAACTTTTTTTTAAAAATAGTAAATTGCTCACACTGAGAACCTGTGAATTAGCAAAATTTGCAGTTATGGTAAAACATGATGTTTAAAAAATATATATATATTTGTTTGTAAAGAGGTCAAAAAAGGGGTAAAAAAAAAAAAATAGATGTAGATGTGATTTGGAGCTGCAGTCCATCACGATTTCAAATCCTCTTGTGGCTCCCACAGGAGTCACTGTCTGGTCTGGAGTCTCTTTAGTTTTGAGGGTTCTGGCACCTCATTTGAAATAAACCTCACTCCACTCAGTGGGCTTTTAGATCAGCGTCGCTACAATCAACAATAATAATAACATTTTCCTGATTTCTGCTTCTTTGTCATTAGTTTATCAAGTTGAGTTTAACTGCTCAGGCCACTGATTCTCAGACAGAAATCAATCACAGATCTTTGCTATTATTTTATGACTCGTCTGTCATTTTTATCAGCTGTAGCTCGAGCTGCAGGAACGATATGAGAACAATAAGTCAGATGCTGAAACAGGCAGATTATATTGACAGTACAGCGCTGATGTGCTGGTAGTAGATGGAATAATCTTCCAGTCAGTGTTCAGGACTCAGACACAGCCTCAGTCTTTAAGCCTAGGCTTAATACCCACTTGTTCAGTGGAGCCTTTGGTAATTAGTTTTCCCTCTTAGATAAAAGGTGCAGATCTGGGGTTCATGGTCATAGAGTATTATGGTAAACTGGTAGTGTTGGTGCTGTCGTCCGCTGCTCATGCACTCACTCAGGTTTGCTGACGGTGGAGTGGAGGGGCGCCGACATCTCAGGGAGCCTCATGACTCTGTTACCTTCTGTCTCTCCCTCTTAGTGAGGCTGTAGTATACAGACCTGCCGGAGTTTCTGCTGATCTCTGTTCACTGTATACTGTAATCAGACACTCTTAACAGAACTGTGTTTTTCTTTGCTGAGCTGAACAACTGCCCATGCTGTGCATCTGATGCTGTTCTTCATCAGTCTTGATTGAGTGCCCACTGTTTGCCCATCTCCTGGACCAGTTTGACAACCTTGGAGCTTCCTGCTGTGCAATGCTGTGCAAACCTCAACAGCATGAACTGACCCTCCTGATGATATTGCTGCTGCACAGACTCATATATATATATATACACATATATGAAGCTAACCAGATGATAAAATTAAACTTGGCAAGATTGAAGACTGTATAAAAGAACAAACAAAGACTGGATGTCGAGTAACTTTCTCCTATTCAACTCAGATAAAACAGAGGTTCTGCTTCTTGGTCCAAAAGCTGCTAATTTAACACTTAAACTTAACAATTTCTCAGTTGCATCAAGCTCATCTGTAAAAAGCCTTGGTGTCATTATAGACCCTGATCTGTCCTTCGAAGCACACATAACTAATATTACTAGAACAGCCTTCCTGCATCTCCGCAATATTGCTAAATTGAGAAATGCATTCTCTCTACAGGATGCAGAAAAGTTAGTTCATGCATTTATTACTTCAAGGCTAGATCACTGTAATGCCCTGCTGGCTGGATGTCCCAGCAAAAGCCTTAACAAGCTTCAGCTTGTCCAGAACGCTGCAGCCAGAGTCTCACAAGAACTGGAAAATTTGACCATATCAGCCCAGTTTTATCAACCTTACACTGGTTGGCAGCTAAATTTTGCATCGATTACAAAATTCTTTTACTGACCTATAAAGCTCTAAATGGACTCGCCCCTCAGTACCTGAGTGATCAGTCACTCATTACAGAACTGACTCTCTGTGTGTTTCTTCTCTTTGCTGAGTTGAACAGCTGCCCATCCTGTGCGTCTGATGCTGTTGCTTCTTCTGCCTTGATCGGGTGCCAATGCTCACCGGCCTTCTGGACCAGCTTGACCAGAAGGCTGGGACCAGAAGCCCCAGTGAACTGACCCTCCCAATGATGCCGCTACATACACTAAAACTAATCTAATTAACCATTGCTCCACCTGTTTTTCCTGTTTTGTACTATAATACTTTATACTAACACTGTTTGCTATCTGGTGTCATTTTTCCTTGCCACTGTCACCATTGGCGACGCTCATGGGGGCTTGGACCCGGATTTTTCTGTAAAGCTGCTTTGTGACAACACCTGTTGTAAAAAGTGCTGTATAAATAAACTTTGCTTGCTTGCTTTCTTTCCCTGCCTCACAAATTATTTTATTATAGAATTTGCTTCACCTGCCTCACTACTCTGAGCTCTTCTCAAATTCATATTAATAGATCATCATTATAGACTTCTAACAGTCACTGATGTTCATAGTTATTCTCACCGATCTGCTTTTCATTGTTTCTCAGGCCTTTAACAAACATCGATTATCATCGCTTGGTATAAATACTTCTGCCAAATGACAATGTTTTTCCCCTCTTCACTATTTTTGATTTTATATTAATGGTATAGCCTTATTCTCTGGTTATGTTGCTCTTGTTTGTCTGCTAGTTTCCTCTCAAGGTTTCTTCCTCTTAGGGAGTTTTTCCTTGCCACTGTTGCCACTGGCTTGCTCATGGAGTCTTGGACTCAATTATTTTTTTCTGTAAAGCAGCCTTGTGATGACAGCTGTTATAAAAAGAGAGCTCCAGTGATGCTTTGTTGTCTTTACTCAGAGGATTTTCCTCACTTCTAAATTTTAACCATTCAACCTGAAAATCAGATGTAATCGTGAATACAGCACAGCATTTTTTGGTTATTTAAAAAGGGAGCTTATGATGATACAAAATGAAATGCATTTTAATTAAAAAAAAAAAGAACATTACTAATGACAAATTAAAGCAGTCTTGAGTTTGAAAAAAAACAAAACCTCTCACATAACATACACAGAAA